TAGTGGGTAGTGGGTGGTGAGTAATGAGTAGTGGGTAGTGGGTAGTGGGTAGTGAATAGTGAGTAGTGAAAAAGCGAGTAGTGGGTACAAGGCAGGGGGTAGAAAATAGGGAGCAGTGAGTAGTGAGCAATGTGTAGTGCGTTGTGATGAGCGCGCGCCGAGCAATGAGTAATGTATAATGAGCAGCGAATAGCGAGTAGGGACTAGGGAGTAGTGGGTCGTGAGTAGTGAGTAATGGGTAGTGAGTAATGGATGGTAAGCAGTGTGTAGTGCTAGTGAAAACATAGTAGTGAGTAGTGAGTGGTGAGTAGTGCGGAGTCGCGAATAGTGAATAGTGAATCGCAAGCAGGAAGTACAGAGTGGTGAGTAGCGAGTAGCGTGTAGGGCGTAGTGAGTAGTGTGTAATCAGAAGTGGGTATGGAGTAGTGGGTAGTGGATAGTGAATAGTGACTCGTGAGTAGTGAAAAGAGATTAGTGGATAGTGAGTAGTGACTAGTGCGTAATGGGTAGTGGGTAGTATGTACTGTGTAGTGCGTAGCGGGCCGAGAACAGTAATCCGAGTGAACAGTGAGTAGTGAGTACTGGGTAGCGTGTAGTGAATAGTCCGTAGTGAAAAATGAATAGTGGATAGTAATGGGTAGGGAATAGTGAATAGTGTGTAGTGAGTAGTGAGTAGAGAGTAGTGAGTTGTGAGCAGTGAATTGCGAGTACTGAGTAGTGAGTTGAAGGTAGTGGGTAGTGAGTTGCGAGTTGTCAGTAGAGAGTGGTGAATTTTGAATAGTGAGTAATGAGCAGCGAGTTGCCATCAGTGAGTTCCGAGCAGTGTGTAGCGAATAGTGGATAGAGTAGAGGCCAGTCTACAAGGAACCTTCCACAAGAAACCCAGCCTTGAGACCCCAGGACATCCATCGATTTTTGGTGCGGGAACGTAGCGCTCTCCGTCACAAAACCATCGAAACCCAAGAAACGCAGGGCACCCTGGAGGCAAGCAGGGTGTTTCTTGGCATGGGCCCCCACTATAATGAACAGTGAGTAGCGAGTAGGGGATAGGGAGTAGTGCGTAGTGAGCAGTGCGTAGTGAACAGTGTGTAGTGATTAGACGAACGACTAGTGGGTAGCGAGTAGTGAGTGGTGAGTAGTGCGTAGTGTGTAGGATTAGGGCTAGGGGTGAGGGTTGGGCTTACGGATTAAGGTTAGGGTTAGGGGTGGTAGGGGTCGGGCTCTGGTGGGTCCAGTGGGCGGCGTGGCGAAATGGCAGGAGGGGGTGGTTCGAATTTTGACTCCAAAGGCAGGGAAGGCGGGGGGGATTCGTCGACGACGGACCGGGGAAGGGGATGGGCTTTCCCGACAACGGACCGGGGGAAAGAGGGGAGGGGTCCCGACGACGAACCGGGGAAAGGGGGAGGGGAGGGGGGAGGTCCGAACCCCCCCCTTTGGGGGGATCCAGCGGTGCGCCCTCAATGATAAGAACAATGATACGAATAAAACAATTCAGAAATAAGCATGAGTAGTTGAAGTTGTATATAAAAGGATAACAAATAAACAAAAGCAAAATAAAACTTAACATATACAGGGGAAAAAACAACCATAATCTCTGTCGGACTATAGGGCGACGGGGCTATGGGCTATAGGGCTATAGTGCTATAGGGCTATAAGGCTCTGGGGCTGCAGGGTTATAGGGCTACAGGGCTATAGCATTATGGGGCTATGGGTAGGGCTGTAGAGCTACAAGGCTATAAGGCTATAAGGCTATAGAGTCATAGGGCTATAGGGCTATAGAACTATAGGCTATGAGGGCTATGGGGCTATAGGGCTATAGGGCTGTAGGGCTGTAGGGCTATAGGGTTATAGGGCTGTAAGGCTATAAGACTATAGGGCTATAGGGCTATAGGGCTATCGGGCACCCAAACACCGGCACCCGGGCACACAGACACCCGGGCACCCGGGCACCGGGGCACCCGGGCACCCGGGCACCCGGGCGTGCCGCCGAAATCGGCGCCACAACTAACCCAACCATATGAATCCGCGAGGACCCCTACAGAGGCAAGTTCTGATTAGGGAATACTGAAAATGCTAATAGTACTTTTACTAACGATCGCGAAAATGATGAAAATATCAAAACGAAACTAATAGTGCTACAATTCATGATACGAATAATGACAACAACGATCCTAACATTAGTTATAATCATAGAGATGATAAGAATCACCATCACCATCACCAGCATCATCATCAGCAGCATCATCACCTTTATCTTCAATGACATCGTCATCACCATCATCAGCATCATCAGCATCATAGTAGCATCGTGGTTCCAGGCGCAAAGGGGGCCTGGTGGTTTTTGTGCGTGTTGTTTTTAATAAGAAAACCTATGCGAGTCTCTCTCTACGACTCCTCTCTCTCTCTCTCTCATTATTTTTCTCGATGTGTTTCCGTTCTCTCTCTCTCTCTCTCTCCCTGTCTCTCTACATGTTTCCATTGTCCTGCGTCAAACCTGCGCCGATCCTTCTCCCACCTAGCCGAGAGCATTTGAAACCTTCACAACAGGAACCCTTTGGAAAGCACCACAAAGGGATTCCATGTGAAAGCCTCTCAACAGGAACCCTTTGAAAGGCACCACAAAGGAGTTCCATTGGAAAGCCTCTCAACAGGTCTTCATTTGGGAAGCGGTACAAAAGGATTCCATTTGAAAGCATCTCAACAGGATTCCTTTGGAAAGCACCACAGAGGGATTCTATTGGAACGCCTCACAATCGGAATCTGTTGGAAAGCGCCACAGAAGGATTCTATTGGAAAGCCTCTCAGCAGGATTCGTTTGGAAAGCCCCACAATGGTACCATTGGAAAGCCTCTCAACAGGATTCCTTTGGCAAGCCCCACAGAGGTACTCTATGGGAAAGCCTCACAATCGGATTACATTGGAAAGCTTCACAATCTGATTCCTTTGGGAAGCACCCCGAAGGGAGTCTGTTGGAAGGCCTCACAACAGGAACCCTTTGGAAAGCACCCCAAAGGGATTCTAGTGGAAAGCCTGACAGCAAGAACCCTTCGGAAAATGCTACAAAGGGTTTCAATTGGAAAGCGTCACAAAGGAAATCCTTTGGAAAACTACACAAAAGGGATTCCATGGGAAAGCCTCACAATTGGAATCTTTTGAAAAGCGCAACAAAGGGATTCCATTTGAAAGCCTCACATCAGGAACCCTTTGAAAAGCACCACAAAGGAGTTCCATTGGACAGCCTCTCAACAGGATTCCTTTGGAAAGCACAACAGAGGGATTCTATGGGAACGCCTCACATTCGGAATCCTACAGAAATCGCAACACAGCGATTCTACTGGAACGCCTCACAATCGGAATCCTTTGGAAAGCACAACAAAGGAGTTCCATTGGAAAGCCTCCCAACATGGTTTCTTTGGAAAGCGCAACAGAGGGATTCTATTGGAAAGCCGCAATCCAAACTGCTACCGTTGGGAGGATGGCGCTGGAACACAAATCCTCACAACAGGAACCCTTTGGAAACCATCACAACAGGAACCCTTTGGAAATCCTCACAACAGGAACCCTTTGGAAATCATCACAAAGGGATTCCATTGGAAAGCCTCCCAACAGGATTCCATTGGAAAGCACAACAGAGGGATCCAATTGGAAAGCCTCACAACAGGATTCCTTTGGAAAGCACCCCAAAGGGATTCTCATGGAAGGCCTCTCAACAGGATTCCGTGGGAATGCATCACAGAGGGAGGGTTCAGCGCCGCAGGTACGAACCCCTCCCGCGACCTCCTCCCTGCGACTCCTCTCCATCCTCTTCCTCCTCCCCCTCCTCCCCCATCCCCCCCTTCTGAAGGAATGCAACAACTTTGGGAAAACCATTGGAAAAACCAAAAAAAACAAAGAAACCTAAGTGCTGGAAACGAAAACTTTAGGAAACCCATTGGAAAAACCAAAAAAAACAAAAAAAACAAAGATTCCACAGAGAGTGCGGGGATTCCCTTTGGACGTGTCCCTTCGGACGGGTGTTCCCCGCACTCTCTGTGGAATCTTTGGTTTTTTTGGTTTTTTTGGTTTTTCCAATGGGTTTCCTAAACTTTCCGTCTCCACCACTTAGGTTTCTTTGTTTTTTTTTGTTTTTCCAATGGTTTTCCCAAAGTTCTGGCATTCCTTCAGAAAAGGGGGAGAGGGGGAGGAGGCGGAGGAGGACGAGGAGGAGGAGGAGGAGGAGGAGGAAGAGGAGGATGATCGGGAACAGGATGAGGAGGAAGACGGAGAAGGATGAGGAGGAAGAGGAATGCGCTACGAACGAAAACACACAGAAGAGAGAGCGAGAGAGAGAGAGAGACGCATGAAACCCTCGGAGGGCCGAAAGCCCGCCGAATCATCCAGTCTGGAGCTGAAAAAGATCACGCTTAAAAACCACCAGGCCCCCTTTGCGCCTGAAGCCAGCATCGTCATCATCCTCGTAATCATCGTCATCCTCGTCGTCATCATCATCAGCAGCAGCATCATCAACATCATCATTACCAGCATCATCATCATCCCGCCCTTCCCTGTTTCCTCACCACGCTCCTGTGCCTCATCATCACCATCAGCAACAGCATCATCATCGTCATCAGCGTCATCAGCATCCTCATCGTCATCATCATCATCATCATCATCATCATCATCATCATCATCATCCTCATCATCATCATCAACACCATCCTTCTCCTCCCCCTCCCCCTCCTCCTCCTCCTCCTCCTCCTCATCATCATCATCATCATCATCATCATCATCATCATCATCATCATCATCATCATCATCATCATCATCATCATCATCATCATCATCATCCTCTTCATCATTCCTCATACTACCAGCTCCTTCTCCTCCTCCTCCTCCTCCTCTTCCTCCTCCTCCTCCTCCTCCGGTTTCTTCATCCTCGTCTTCCTGCTACGTCCTACTCCTGCCACGCTCCACCGACTCCCCCCTCCCTGGACGCTCCGTGGCGCGACAGGCGGATAGACCTCCAGTTCGTGGCCGATGGCCTCCTGGAGCCACTCCGCGGCCGGGGCGACCAGGCCAGCGCGCGCGAGGGCCTCCGTCGCTGAGCCGCGGGACTGGCCATCGCTCGGACGTCCATTCCCTGTGCTCTTTTCGGTTTCGTGCGTGGCTTTTTCGCCAAATGATCAAGGATGCTCCTCGATGGTCCTCGCCGAGGGAGAAATGCACACGTCCGAGCGATGCCAGGGGGAGGAGGACGTGGAGGGATGGAGGGAGGACGAAAAGGGAGGAGGAGGGCCACTACGCTGCGGTGCGCGGGTTCGTCAGCCACGATGGCACGAGGCAGCCTCGACGGCCAATCACATCACCCTCTCTGAAACTGGCCTCTGGACATGGCCAACGAGGGACGGATACCGCGAGCTGCCGTCCACGAGACCGCATCGACGGGGAGGAGGGAGGACGAGGAGGACGAGGACGACGACGAGGAATAGGAAGAAGACTAGGAGGAGAAGGAACGCGAGGAAGAGCCTTTCCCGACATGAACTGGAAGCGCGTGACATCGAAGACCATGGCAAGCGCGTGCACCAACAGCGAGATCACTTGTAGCATGGGCGTTCTTCCCGAAGGCCCATAGTGGGTACGACGTGGAGTTCACGACCCGCGCAAGTTCACACGTAACGCACAACAGGCGCACCTAAGATATGTTTGTATGCCTCCGTTTCCTCGCCCTCGTCGCCTGCCTTCTGCCCATAGGCGCAGTTCGCTGCCCGCGAAAGTTTAGGAAAACCCCTCAGCACCCTCGAAAGAACCACTCTGAACTGGCGTGGGTGGATAACTCGTTCTGATGTTCTCGTCTTCACATGCTCGAGGGGGGCTCCAGCTGAATGCGAACTTGCAAACGATAGTTCTGTTGGGGGGTCCACGAAAACCTTTGAAAAACCGCAAACGCCCGATGCATTCAAAGGGCCGCAAGTGCAACTGACGTTGTCGTACGTATGGGCGTCACTACTCGTGCGTGTCCTGACGTGGAGTTGAGCTTGAGCAAATAAACAAAAAAAAAAAAAAAACTGGACCTGGTATCGACCTTTCGAACACGACTACTGCTACTACTACTACTACTACTACTACTACCACCACCACCACCACCACCACCACTACTACTACTACTACTACTACTACTACTACTACTACTACTACTACTACTACTACTACTACTACTACTACTACTACTACTACCTAGTACTACTAATACTATTAATACGACTACTGCTACTACTACTACTACTACTACTACTACTACTACTACTACTACTACTACTACTACTACTACGACTACGACTACTACTACTACGACTACTACTGCGACTACGACTACGACTACTACTACCACCTACTACTACTACTACTACTACTACTACTACTACTACTACTACTACTACTACTACTACTACTAACGACTACTACGACTACGACTACGACTACGGCTACTACTGCTACTACTACGACTACTACTACTACTACTACTACTACTACTACTACTAC